CACCTTCTGGCTTCAAGTCTCTCTGCTGTCCGCCAGTTGAAGATCTCCGTTTAAAAGATGGCTGTCTTGTCACAAACCAGTTCTACTAGCCAGATCCATGGAGAAGCATTGGAATTTGAGTACTAGCCAGATCCATGGAGAAGCATTGGAATTCAAGTTCATCCTCAAATTCAGTTCTCATGCTAATGGACTCAATTGTGATGAAGGATAGTTGGGACACTACCAACCTAACATTCAGTGAAGGTGCAAACAGCTCTTTGCGTAGATTCCTGTGTCAGGAAGGATACTATCAATTGACTTTGATTCTTATCTGCTTCATTTTAACTACCCAATCTTCAGATACTTACAGATTCCCTCTACCTTCCTGATTTTCTATTTATACCCTCTGCTCCCTGTTTCCCACTCCCCTCCTTTTTTTCCTTCCCCCACCCCTTCTCTCCTATTTATTTTGGGTCTGCACATCCTAAACTCAAAACTCTGGTCATCTGAAGAAGTGGGTTGTGCCCACGAAAGCTCATGATACCATTGTGATGTAGTGGGGGGTAACTTGCTGGGGCTGTGGGCGACCTCTGCTGTCTGTAGCACGACCCAGCAGAGCAGGGGGTGAGTGATTATGCAAAGGGGGCTCCAAACCTGTCTGACCAGCTACCCCCCAGGGAGAGAAACAAAGGAAGGTGGAATGCCGTCCCTGGCTGGGGGGCATGTCTGGAGGACATGGAGTTAGTTAGTTTCTGTCTGGGAAGCAGGGGCGAAGGAGCTGGGGAGGGCGCTGGGACTTAGGGGCCCAAGGGGCACTGAGGCCTCTTAGCCCCAGTTCCTGTAACCAGATGACATCTGTGCTGTGCTGTATCCTGGAGAAGCAATAAACTCCCCCCATTCTACTGGCTGGTGGAGTCTGTTCGTGCCATTTCGGGGGTGCAGGAGATGGGAAAACCCCAACGCATCGTCACAACCATCGACATGTTTTGTTAGTCTATAAAGTGCTACCAGACCATTTGTTGTTTTTTTCTGTACAGACTAACTCTGCTACCCCCCTGGGAGCATTGTAGCTAAGTTCAGTAGTGAATTAACAGGTTAGTGTGGGTGTGTACAGCACTGCCCTCTGCTGGATAGAATCAAAATTACTGAACAGTATATCACACATTATGCTATGTCTAGACTGCAGGCTTCTTTCGGAAGAAGCTTTTCCAGAAGAGATCTTCCAGAAAAATTTCTTCCGACAGAGAGCATCCACACTGCAAAAGCACATCAAAAAAGCCATATGCTTTTTCGAAAGATAGTGTCCACGCTGAATGGATGCTATCTTGCCTTTAAGCTGTGATTACTATGGATGGAGTGGCCACTGGGACACCTGTGCTTTTTCCTCTTTCCTCTTCTTTTGAAATAACTCCTCTTCCCCGTCCACACACGCCTTTTTCTGAAAAAGCTCTTTCGCAAAAAGGCTTCTTCCTCACAGAAAGAGGTTTACCAATGTCGGAAAAATCCTTCTGTTCTTTCAATTTTCTTTCAAAAGAACGCTGTAACTCAAGTTTTTTTCAGGGAAAAAAAACCTCTGTAGTGTAGACATACCCTATATTGCTAACAAGTCTCTTCCAGCTATGCCTCAGAAGTCTATGCTTTTGGAATAGGAGGATCTGAGCTCCACCTCCATTGACCCCAGGAAGTTCTGAGTAGCGACACAGCAGAGCGACAACTGTGGGTGCTACGTGGCCATAGATGTATTCAAATGCAGAACAGTTTACCCAGTGCAGGGAACACCACTTGGCTCTCCGTGTCGTACAAACACTCTTGGTCCTGGGGATAGAATGTGCTCAGCCCTTCTCAAGGGCAGCCCCACAAAGAGTTTTCCCTTCTCCCAGAGCTGACTAGCTGCCCTGAGATTGGGAAACCCACTTATGCCTAGAGATAGACTCACAGGATGTGGAGGGTAAAATTAAATGATATGATTGGCTCACCCGTCTGTCATTCATTCCTTGTTATATTGCAAGAAGCATCTCCACACACTGATGCTAGGTCACAGCACCAACGCCCTGAATTCTAGGTGGCGGCAAAAGGTGCCCTCCCCTTGTGCACCCAACCAGTCCACCTTCTCTGTGCCATGATTCGCCCTATCCAAGAGTCCAGTCACTGCTGAGCTGTGGGCACTGCACACCTTGATCTCCCTATCCAGTTAGCTACAATCTTATACGATGTCCAATGTCATAATAATTAAAAACTTGCAGCATCCACCTGCACCCCATGCTCCCTTGCATTGAGCAAAGGATTCTGGGACACACTTAGGACCTTCCAACAATCTATCCCTGTGCCCTTTTGAGGAGGATGAGGTAGATGGCAACTTAACGACTGGCACAGAGTGATCCAGGATTGGCTGAGGGCCCCTCCGGGTAGAGTTTGATTGGGCCGAGGAGAAGGGCTCTTCTTGCAAAGGAGGCAGATGCCAGTAGCTGCGCATGTCCTTGCAACAGTGTCCCTGTCCTGCTCAGATAACAGGCACTCTGTTCTTAATATACAGAGGGTTTGTCTACACTATCGGCTTTGGCCAGCAGAGAGTATGCAAATGAAGCACTGATTAGCATTTTGTCATGCTTCATTTCCATAATCTATTCGAGCTGTTTTTGTGCAAGGGGTTGTTGCACAAAAACAAGTAGTGTGGACGTTTCCTTTTTGCGCAAAACGGAAGCGGCTATACTGCTTCTTTTTGCTCAAAAACCCCTTGCACAAAAAGCATTGGCAGAAAATATGCTAATGACATCGCGACTCATGCTAATGAGTCTGTCATTAGCATACTCTCTGCCGCAAAAACTTGTAGGCTGTGTCTAGACTGCATCCCTTTTCCGTAAAAGGGATGCAAATTAGACATATCGCAATTGCAAATGAAGTGGGGATTTAAATCCCCCCCGCTTCATTAGCATAAAAATGGCTGCCGCTTTTTTCCGGCTCGGAGTTTTGCCGGAAAAAAGCGCCAGTCTAGACGCGGATCTTTTGGAAAATAAAGCCTTTTCCGAAAGATCCCTCATTTTCCGAGCCAGAAAAAATCGGCAGCCATTTTTATGCTAATGAAGTGGGGGGGATTTAAATCCCTGCTTCATTTGCAATTGCGATATGTCTAATGTGCATCCCTTTTACGGAAAAGGGATGCAGTCTAGACACAGCCATAGTGTAGACATAGCCAAAGGGTAGGGGTTGCTCCACTTGTCCCCTTTCCATGGTTTGGTGTACCTGAGTATTAAACTCCCCACCACGAGAGCAAGCAGGATCATCACAAAGAAGATGTACATGTTCTTGTTAGTCTTTAAAGTGCTGCATAGTTCTGTCTTTTGTTTCAGCTAGACCAGACTAACACGGCTGCATCTCTATCACTATTCCTCATGTGGGAATCGTCATTCTTTTTGGCCAGCTTGACTTGACTGCTATTTGTCTGCCCTGTGGCCTGCTTTGGGGGCACAGGATGACACCATGAACTGTTTGGTCTATGGCCTTCACCACCAAGGTCCTAGCAGTGGCACAACAGACTACCTGTCAGTGCTCCCCTGTCTGAGGGGCCGTGTGACAGACTGCCCAACAGCGCTCCCTTGTCTGAGGCACAGTGTGACAGACTGCCCAACAGCGCTCCCAGGCCTGAGGGGCCGTGTGACAGACTGCCCAACAGCGCTCCCAGGCCTGAGGGGCCGTGTGACAGACTGCCCAACAGCGCTCCCAGGCCTGAGGGGCCGTGTGACAGACTGCCCAACAGCGCTCCCAGGCCTGAGGGGCCGTGTGACAGACTGCCCAACAGCGCTCCCAGGCCTGAGGGGCCGTGTGACAGACTGCCCAACAGCGCTCCCAGGCCTGAGGGGCCGTGTGACAGACTGCCCAACAGCGCTCCCAGGCCTGAGGGGCCGTGTGACAGACTGCCCAACAGCGCTCCCAGGCCTGAGGGGCCGTGTGACAGACTGCCCAACAGCGCTCCCAGGCCTGAGGGGCCGTGTGACAGACTGCCCAACAGCGCTCCCAGGCCTGAGGGGCCGTGTGACAGACTGCCCAACAGCGCTCCCAGGCCTGAGGGGCCGTGTGACAGACTGCCCAACAGCGCTCCCAGGCCTGAGGGGCCGTGTGACAGACTGCCCAACAGCGCTCCCAGGCCTGAGGGGCCGTGTGACAGACTGCCCAACAGCGCTCAGCTGCCTGAGGGACTGTGGGATAGACTGCACTTGTCAAGGCACCCAAGATGTCCTGCCCTTGGTCGTTATCCCTGTAACAAAGGTCAGGACACTGTGCCTACTCTGCTAATTCCCACACCCATAGGCCACAATCCTGGTGACATATGGAGACCATGTGACCTCTCTCTGAGACCTAGGGAAAAAGAGAACTGCCACAGTCTACTCCACCCAGTATGGCCATTGTTATAGTCTTATCTGTATTTCCCAACTTGTGCTGTGTTTGTGAGTGACCCCCCAGAAAGACTGGCATCATGAGCGCTCCCTAGCCAGTTATAGTAGGAACTATAGTATATAGTAGGAACTGCCTGGCATATCGTTAAGTAATTTCTCACTATACTGTACATACATGCTGATTGGGAGCCAGAGCACTGGGATGCAGTAAGTGGGCTGTGAGATTTCTTTTTCATCTTCTCGATAACCCATGTGAGGGATCAGGGGAACAGGTTGTCACTGCTGAATGAACTTTGGTGTTTAGAATAGCTGCAGAATCCAGGTCCGAGAAAATTGACATCCGAAGGCCTGACACATGGGTGGGGATCCCTCACAGGGGTCTGAGGAGGTCAGGGGTGCAGCTCACTCATGAGCCGTGATGACTTCATTACCTCCCTGGGTCTTACTCTCCGCGTCTGTAACATGGGCCTCACAGCGCCGCTTGCTTTGGCAAAGTGCTTTGAGATCTAGGGCGCCAGCGTGCTTCCTAAGGGCTAGCTGTTCAGAATGAGAGACATGCCTGATCCTGACTGGTGCTGAGACTCTCTGAGACCTCTCTGGGTCATAAGGCAAACAAATCACACCAACACCCCAGCCCACTTCACTTTATTTATTTGCATCACAGATATTTCTCCTCCCAGGGAGCAGGCCGGGCTGGAAGGGAGCAGTGTTCTTTACTGCGGCACGTCGGCCTTTCCAGACTCAGCGGTAGAAGAGCAGCACTGCGGATTCAAGCATCTCCTTGGATACGCTCCAGCCCCGATGGGTTCCGTAGCCGTCCCAGGCAAAGGCAGTGAAATCTCCGCACTGAGCTGGGTTCCCTTCTGGGAAGAACCCTCCTCCACCTATGCAGTACTGGGGAGAGAACAGAGGAATTGCCAGAGGAGCAGAACAGGGACCCATCTAGCTGCTCTCCTGTCTCTAGACCGTTGCCAGCTACTTCAGAGGAAAGTGCAAGAAACCCTGCAATAGCCAGTTGGCAAAGAATCTGTCCACAGAGAAAGTTACTTCCTGACCCTCCACAGTCAGAGCTCAGCTAGTGCCCTGAAGCATGAGAGTTTAAATCCCTTCCTAACTCTTGTGAGAAGAAGCTCCATTGCTCTGGCTCAGGCACAGTCCCTTATACGGGTGCAGAAGGCCTGCAGATATCAGTGTTTGCCATCCCCTTTGCATTGGACAGACCCTCTGGTGCCAGGTGCTGTACAGACACAGAACAGAAATATGGCTGTGATGGGATGCGGTCACAGACGGCCCCTCGGGCGGGGTGCTGACATGGCCACTGCCACTTGCTTTTCTGCTCTCTGGGGCTCCTCACTGCCCGATCCTGCTGGCCCAGCTCCGCTGGTCTCCCCCAGCCAAGGCCCCAAGCTGAGGTCCCTATCCCCACCAGGAAGCAATACTGAAACTGAACCACTCCAGGTCCAAGGAGAGTGCACTTTAGAGCCCAGCCTCCTGAGAGAGCACTCCCCAGATGGGATCAAACCCCAAAGAATTAGGTAAGCCCCCTTTAGCAATGAAAGGGGGAATGTGCACACTGGTTGCCCCCCAGGTAACAATCGCTTACACTGGGTTTGATAGAAAATAAAAATGGTTTTATTAAGTTGAAGCAGCAGGATTTAAGTAGTAATAAGAGAAAGTAGCAGAGCAAAGTAGGTTACAAATAATCAAAAGAAACAAAACCACTCAGCTAATTCTCCACTGAAACCTCAGTGCAAACTTACCCTAAAACCTCTTTTCCATCTGCCACTCTAAACCAGGGCTGTCTTCCCCACCCTGGGGTCTCAGGCTCCTTCCTTCAGGTGCACCCCAGCCAAAAGACCCAGGTCTCTCCTTTCCTATTCCTTTTCTTAAGGAGTTGAGGCCCCTCCCTAGCAACCACTGCTCAGACTTAAGGACAAAAGATTGTTTAACAGTGGCTCATCTAGACATTTCAGGTAACACCCTCCATGTCTCCCATTCACACATTTGAAACTCACAAAGTATGCCCCGCTCCATGTGTCTAATTTTACACACACAAATGATACATACAACAGAGTAAGATCAACAGAACCAGCAGATCATGACACAAAGATCGATGGGTTACATGAAATAATTCGCTCAAACCACCTTTGAGTTATGTATATTCATGTCCATGAGTCCATTTCATAAACCATGGGGGGTGGGTCCATCACAATGGCCCTTACCCCAAAGAGCTGACAATTTCACCCTCCCACTGTGGCCCCCAAAGGAGATGTAACATCTGCCCGTTGGCCTGTCCTGGGGGATAGTTGCCCCCAAGGGCACAGCTCTCCCCGCTGGCATCAGGAGCACAAACTGATCCCACCCTGCACCAGTGCAGAGCTAAGTGTCCTTGTGCAGCCGGCTCTGACAGTGACACTCAGCAGCCCCAAAGTTGATCAGCTGGCCCTTGCTCCACAGCTAACCCCACGCCGGCCAGATACTCACCGTTTCAGTGTTGCAGCCAGTGACTTTAACCCCCGAACACAGAGCCATGGCCGCCTTCTCATAATTAAATACACGGAACTGGACGTAGCCCGCGACGAATTCAGCTGGTGACAGAAAAGGAGAGGTCAGGATGGTTGTTTGTCATGGCGAGGTGGAGAGAAAAGACAGAGCTGTGATTCTAGGTGGTGCCTTTGAACTGGGAATGACCCAGACATAAGGATAATGAACCCCACCCCTAATTATCAGGAATGGCCAGTGTCAGCCGGGCAGTTCACAGCTCTGTCACTTCCATGGCAGCTTTAAAATCCTAAGAGTAAACCTCATTGTATGAGGAATAACAGTTATGTCAAGAGAAGGGTTTTTTCTTGAAATAGCGCGGTTACACAGGGTGTTTTATTTCAAAATCACGTGATTTCGAAATAGCCACCAGACGCGATTATGCTAATGAAGTGCGGGATATTTAAATCCTGGCTTCATTTACTATTTAGAATGCCTACTTTTGCATCCCTATTTCGAAATAGGGTGCAAGTGTAGACATACCCGAAATCAGAGATACTCAGACTGTGGCCTGCCAGCCACAAGCATCTCTTTCATGTGTCTCCTGCCACTCTTTGCACCACATGATATGAAAACACTGCATCGTTTTATAAATAACCAAGCTAAGTTATTAAGCAATCAGGATGCTCTTACTATGTTATTCACAAGTTATCAACTTGCACTAAGTTATTGATTTATTTATTGAGAGATTTAGAGAGAGAGACACAGAGAGGGAAACAAAATATTTCCCCCCCATGTGGTTAAAATATGGCTACAGGCTGCCCCTGACTTGCAACAGTATCAGTTCCAGGGATAGCATCGCAAATCAGGGGAGTCGTAACTCGAGTCCGCATTTATGACAGGTGTGGTATACTGTCGTAAATGCAGGGATGAGGATGTAAGTCGGGGGGTTTTTGGCCCTTTCCGCACTTACGGAAAAGGTCGTAAGTGCAGGGAGTCGTAAATCGGGCCGTTGCAAAGCAGGGGCCTCCTGTAGTCCTATAGTAAATAAAACTATGAATTCACACACTGATGGCTCTTTTGGGTAATGCTGATGTGACGTAGTGTGGGTACCTTGCTGGGGCTGTGGGCGACCTCTGCTGTCTTTAGCACGACCCAGCAGGGCAGGGGGTGAGTCATTATGCAAAGGGGGCTCCAAACCTGTCTGACCAGCTACCCCCCAGGGAGAGAAACAAAGGAAGGTGGAATGCTGCCCCTGGCTGGGGGGCAGGACAGGAAGGTTAGTCTCTGTTTGGTATCATGGAGGAAGCAGTCTAGGCAACAGGCTGGGATTTAGGAGCCCAGACTCCCCCATATCAAGGGGGGCTGAGGCATCCTAGGCCTGCCCTGTAACCAGATTACATCTGTGCTGTGCTGTATCCTGGAGAAGCAATAAACTCCCTCTATTCTACTGGCTGGTGGAGTCTGTCCATGCCATTTCGGGGGTGCAGAAGAGGGGAAAACCCCAACGCGCCGTTAAAGCTGGTTGCTAATTTGGCTTCTGGAGCACTGAGGTCTGAGTATCACTGCTCTAAAAGGAAATTCATGTAGACCAGGGATGTTAAATATCGGTTAATTGAATAGTCAAGTAACGTCATGAATTTTTATTGGTTAGTTGACTATTCTATAGTCCCTGGGGGTGGGACCAGCAGCAGCGCGGAGTGCCAGGCAGGAGCTAGTCTGTGAGGGGAGCTAGTTTAAAAAACAGCTCCTCTTGCGGACTGGCTGCTTGTCACCCTGTGCTGCTGCCTCTGATAAAGAGGCAGCAGGGTGGGGTGCGCGTGTGTGGGGAGGTGTGTGTCTGAGATCCTGGACCCAGCATGAACCAGAACTGAGCCAGGCTGCCTGCCTGCCCAGCTCCTAACTCACTTTAAATGCAGAGCCACAGCAGGGGTAGGTCCCGGACCTTGCGGAGGAGGGTCAGGGTTAACTGATTAATCGACTACAGTCACTATTACAACCCTAAAGTAGACTGAAAGAACAGGCCCAGGGCATAAATTCTCAAGGAGCTGTCCAGAACATAGCTCTGGAAAATGTTTTCAAGCCTCCTGGAGTTTTGAGGCTATGCCTACGCTATCAAGTTTTGTGGACAAATCCTGCCATGTGGTGACAAAACAGTGAGGGTATGTCTACACTACCCCCCTAGTTCGAACTAGGGGGGGTAATGTAGTCATACGGAGTTGCAAATGAAGCCCGGGAAATTCAAATCCCGGGCTTCATTTGGAACTCTGTATGACTACATTACCCCCCCTAGTTCGAACTAGGGGGGGTAATGTAGTCATACGGAGTTGCAAATGAAGCCCGGGAAATTCAAATCCCGGGCTTCATTTGGAACTCTGTATGACTACATTACCCCCCCTAGTTCGAACTAGGGGGGGTAATGTAGTCATACGGAGTTGCAAATGAAGCCCGGGAAATTCAAATCCCGGGCTTCATTTGGAACTCTGTATGACTACATTACCCCCCCTAGTTCGAACTAGGGGGGTAGTGTAGACATACCCCAAGAGTGCACATGCTGCAGTGAGACTTGTCAGAAAAAATGCCCAGTTTTGGTGACAAAAAGCTTCCTCCCCACAGGAATTCCCCCTCCCCCTTTATTGTCAACCAAGAGCCAGTGCAGACACTGCTGTTTGTTTTTTTTCCCTCCACAGAACTGGCTTCTGCCAGTATTCCACAAGGCCTGCCCTGATGGCTCTGCTCAGTGTTTGATCTCTGCTGCCCTGCAGGCATGATCCTTCCCTTTTCAATGCTGAGTGAGCTGCTTCTTTTGGGGAACAAAGAGAAAATCGTTGGCGTGCTCCTGTTTTGCCCTGCACTGGAACACAGCGGCAGGCAGACGGCTGCTGCAGGGGATGGGGAGCAGGCTGCGGTATTGCTTTAACATTCCTCAGCCCGGAGAGCTCCCAGAATTACTCATGGTGCCGCCCTCAGCTGAGGAGACTGTAGGAGAATTCAGAGGGAATTGCAAGATGTACAGGGATCAGCTCTGCCTTCCCCCACTACAGCCCTGTGGCATACATACCCACAATGCATTGCTCACACTACTGATGATGGTGCCCCAAATCTGGACATGATCTGCCAACAGAGAGAGCAAGTGGGAACCCAGCTGGTGAGTTTTGCTTTGTCAACTTTTGGGTGTTGACAAAAGTTTTGTCAACAAAACTTGTTAGTGTAGACATAGCTGTAGAGTGCTGGGGAAAGCAGTCCTGGCGGGAGGGGTGGGAAAGTGTGAAAGAGAAGCCTCCAGGAAATACTCTAAGAACTTAAGGCTGGGCAGAGAAGATCCATGTGGCCAAAGAGACAAAACACGGAACTTAAGGCTGGGCAGAGAAGATCCGTGTGGCCAAAGAGACAAAACACACATGCTCACTCCCAGACTTACTTTGGCTGTTTGGAGGGTAATAATTGGCGGTTCGCTCAGCATCACCGTAGTCATAGACAATGGGCACGACGGGGCCATTGTTGGTTTTGCAGACGCCGGCGCCGTATTTCACTGGGTATTTCTGGAAGACAAGCACAGTGAGCATCCAGTGCCAGCTTCCATCCCTGCCAGGGCAGCTCCAGCACAGACAGGGCAGCCTTCCATGACATGAGCTTGATGGGTCGGGGTTCTCAAACTTTGTAATACCGTGACCCCCTTCTAAGTTACTTGTGACCCCTCTGGAGAGTTGGGACCACAATTTGAGAAACAATGCGCTGGGTGATTTGTTCAGCTAGTCCCCCAAGGACCAGCCCCAGGGCACAGGAGTGATCCCAGCAGTGAGCAGGGGAATCTGGCAGGTCGAGGTGCTGCTTGGGCTGGTTTTATCCCAGATTATTTGAGGCAGGGACGACTGTTCTTTTCTGGGTCTGTGCAGCACCTAGCACCATGGTCTCTGTGAGGTCTGCTAGGGACTGGCACATGCAGGAACCTGTGCCCAGTAACCTCCCTTACAAGCTCCAGGGCCTGGGGCAGCGTCAGTCTCTGTGGCCGGTTCAGCCCCTCGGGTCTCTAGTTTGAGATGTGAACACCAGCAAGTGGCTGCGATTGGCCAGCTCACTTCACACCAGATGGTCAGATTCTAACAGGTGACATCGAGGGGAAGGCTCCTTGTCCCATTATCTGCCCCTGGAGCCCCCAGCCTGGAGCACTTGTAGCATGTTGAGAATTTACCTGGTCCAGCTCCTCAATCTATATTGGGATCAGCAGAGCCACCCAGTCCCTCCCATGCCTGCCCCTCCAAAGCCCCCAGCTGGGCACCCTCACCTGGTAGAGTTTGAAGAGGTTCCCTTCCTCTTCAGACAGGAAGCCTGTTTCGGTGTGGTACCGCAGGATGGACCTGGTCTTCCATTCCTTCAGGGGTGTATTGTTGCTCACGTGCCACACAGACAGGTCCTGGGCTTGCAGATCATAATAACCTGGGTTCTGAGAAGCAAGAACCCAGCTGAAACTTCTCAGCCACATCCTGGGCACTTATCCATCACCAGGGCATCTGGGCACCTCACCAGTTGTGGTGTACTAATCCTGACAACCACCCTTCAAGGCAGAGAAGCACCATTCCCACTGTATGGGGGAACCGAAGCATAGTGACTAGGTGACATGCCCTAGGTCACACAGTGGGCCTGTGGCAGGATAGGGAAGACTGGATCCCAGGGCTGCCAAGCCCTATGCTAGAACCTGTCACTGGACCCTCCTCTCGGCTAACCCCCTATTCCAGTGTCCCTCACGTGCCCATTGACCATGGGGATGGGGACCCCACCTTGTAGTCGTCGCTGGTGGCGCCCACCGCGGAGCCGAAGGTGTTGTAATTGGCCCAGTTGCCGTCTCCCTCGGGGTAGTTGGCGTTGCTCCCCTGCTGGCTGGACCAGCGGTCGCCCTCCGTGCACTTCCCGTAGATGTTGTTCTCGTGCACGCTGGCCACCAGGGTCCAGCCGCCCCCATTGGTGGTCATGTCACAGAAGGTCTGGTAGGTCTCGCCATCCTTGGTGCGCAGGGTGTAAATCCCATCTGTGGGGGGTCGGGGGAAAGCGGGGGAACCGGGCTGGTCAGCCAGGGCCAGGGAAAGGGGAAGGGCCCTCTCGGAGCCAGCCACTAAACGGGACACAGGCCCCGGGGAGGAGCTTCTAGTGGCTGCAGCAGGGCACAACCCGGAGTGGCTGGAGCAGGACGGGGCCCTGCACCCGGGGGCAGAGCAGCCAGATTCCCAATGACACTGAAGCCCCCTTGGCAGCAGAGAGCCAGTGTAATCACAGGGACTCCCCCAGGACGGGGCGTCAGGGCCTGAGCCTTTCCACACACAATCTGTGGCACCTTAATGATACCGGGGCTGTTAAAGCACCACAGCCCCCCAGTGCAAACGCAGCTGAGACTGGTTTGAATGGGCCGTGTACTGGGATGGCCATTGCCACAAGGGGAAGGGGACGAGGCTGCCCCTGTCTCAGGCACCTTTGTCCCAGTGTAGCTGGGATCACACTGGGGCTGGATTGGTATCCGTGTGGCAAGGAAACCTTCCCCTGACCCCGCCCAGTGACACCGGGACAGTCGCCGTGCGCAGACCAGGCCTAAGTGCAACCGAGAATCAGGCCGAGGGCAATTTGTACCATGGAAAGGCCCCAGGGCTTGTTTGGATCCCCCTGCCCCTCCTGCTGCCTGTGTCCCCGCCCTGTGTCCCTCTCTGGGCCGCAGCCTGCGCTGACTCGATCTGGGGGGCCGCACGACGGGTGGGACAGAGCCAGGGACAGAATCTGCCACCCACTGGCTACACCTCATTGTCAAAGGTGCTGAGCACCCTCCCGGCCTGGACAAGCGCTGGTGCTGAGGGGCTCAGCCCCAAGAGCAGCCTCTGGCCTCCCTGTCTGAGTCCTGCCCCCATCCCTCCAGCTGAGACTCAAGCCAGGGTCTGTGGGGCAGGGAAGCGGGAGGGGGGAGGGGAGATCTTCAGAGACATGCTCTGGCAATGGGATTTGGGCACCTCTGTGGCACGTGTGCCTCTCAAATTCTCTGCTGGGTAGATCAGCCAGAGCCCAACGAGGCAGCAGGCGCCCCCATGTGCTTTTCTCTGCCAGCAGCTGCCTGGCCTAAGCAGCAGGGCGCTGGCCCAGAGCTGAGGTCTTGTGTCGCTCCTGCCGCAGGGAGGGGCCCCCTGCACGTGGCTTAGTGCACAGCGTGCCCCCCGCTTGCCCCAGCCAAAGGGCCCCCCCGCTCATTGTCAGTCCCAGCCCTGCTGGACCCAGCCCCTAGATGTGCTCAGAAGGAACTGGTGTGACACTCAGCACAACCAGGCATGGGGTTCCCTGGTGCCTGGCAGTGAGGTTCAGCGGGCAGCTGTGTGCCCCCCCCCCCCCAGTCGTCATGGTCTATAGCTAAGGGGTGGTATGTCCTGGGGACGGGGTGTACGCTCACCTCAAAGGTGTTCGAATTATGAGTAAAACGTGTTCACACCAGCTAGACAAGGGGCTGCGGGGAGATCTTTTATTGGCCCCACGTGGGCTGGGGAGGGAAAGATCAACGGTCAGGCCTCACAGAGCTATTCTGGGAAAGCCTGGCTCGAAAGCTTGTCCCGCTCACCAACAGACATGGGCCCAACAATAGACATTGCCTCCTCCACCGTTCTGCATGAAGCCCGGACTGACACGGTTCCAGCCAGGCTGCATTTAACCAGGATGGGAGGGGAGTTGCCAAACAGGCTTTCTCTGGATAAAGGAAAGGGGCCGAGGCCTCAGATCAGCTCTGGCCAAATTCAATGAGTGATTCATCTGCAGGAAGAGCTTCTTTACATTGTAAAAATCATGACTGGGCCTCCTCCACCGTTCTGCATGAAGCCCGGACTGACACGGTTCCAGCCAGGCTGCATTTAACCAGGATGGGAGGGGAGTTGCCAAACAGGCTTTCTCTGGATAAAGGAAAGGGGCCGAGGCCTCAGATCAGCTCTGGCCAAATTCAATGAGTGATTCATCTGCAGGAAGAGCTTCTTTACATTGTAAAAATCATGACTGGGGTGAAGACGGTCTGACAGCCCCCCCCCCCCCCCTGCAACTGGAATCG